TGGTCGAAGTCTTCGAATATTGGTACTTCCGTGTCGATTGAATTCCAGGTCACAATTTAAGTGCACTCTTGTATGTGGCACATTTTTCTGATATTTAACTTAAAAAAGTTCCAGTAAAAATACTCAAAAGGAATTTTGAGATGTCTATGTAACTTTTGGCTTTAGATGTTTGTTAGGTGTTTAGCACTAATATATTCAGTGATAGTTTCCCTAGCTTCCCAGTTTCCATCATAAAAAATACGTATCCTAGTCTGCTTTGTGTATGTAAAAGCAATAGATTGAATTAGTTTTGCATTGAGCTGTACTATGATTTTGTTCAAAGCGTTTTTAGTTTTTTGAGTTTTTTAATATGATCCTAAAAATAATTTACAAATGGAATTTAGCATTTTAAGAAATATGCATATACATTTCCAAAACTGAGTTAAATCTGAGACCAGTGGCATTTAATCTGAAGGACTACAAAAGAAAATTAATTTTCATTATCACTTTCTGGCTCCATTCTTATATGAATTAAAATTAATTTTTTTGTACATTCATTGGGAAAAGAAGGATTTATTTTTAAAATTAACCAATCTGAGTCATAATGCTGTTCAAAAGCATCTACCGTGCTTGCTGTAATGGCATTCATTCCAAGATTTTTCTCCCGAAGTGATGTCTCTGAATTTTATAAACATTTTGGAATGCTTACACAAAACTAGAATGAGGACAAAAAATTGAATCCTAATATTAGCGTAACAACATAATCTAAAATTACTTTCTGTGGTCTAGGTCTTGCAGAGTAAAGATATGAGTGATCTATCTGCTGGTAGTTGGTTCTGTATTGTTTCCTCATCCATTCCTAGTAACTTCTAATATTGTTTGGTTTTTTGACCCCTGTTGGACAGAGGTGATCCCTCTGTAGAACGATCTCCAATAGCCGCAAAATTTTTTTCCTAAGTGTGAAAAGTCAATTCAGAACTTGTGAAGGTGCGATTATTTTTGTCCTCTGTGTGTACCATGCTATGCACACCAAGTTTCCTTTCCAATTTTTATCGCTCAGTTGCAGCCCCTTTGCAGATCTTTGTTGTCTCATTATGCACTCATCCAGCTGTTTGTGATTTCTTCTGTATTCTTAAAGTACACAGAACCTAATGGAGACTTGTGTAGGACACCACTGCTGGCCCTTACATGTTAAAATCCAACTCTTCATTTCTACTCCCTACTATCTTTTACTCAGTGATATGTTTATTTAAGGATAGTTCCTTTATATTTGAGGTTGAATCTGCACCATTAACCATTTTGTTGTTGTTTAAACAATTTGTTAAATAGTAGTAACATTAAGTCCTGAAGAAGCAGGAAAGCTTTAGGAAAGAGAAGCAGCCTCATCCTCATTTTACAGGCTAAAGTAAACTTTTGCATACTATATGCCAAAAGCTTTTAATTTGTTTTTTGAAGAATTAATGGGTTTCCCATTTATTTATTTGTTTATTTAAAAAGCTCTTATTCGGGTGATCAGGGAACAGCAATTTGTTTTGAATGTAACCACCAGAGGTCACTAAAACGTAAAAATAAAATGCAAGTAAACAACTTTCACAGACTAGGCAAAACTTAGCTGTGGAACTGTGTACTATCTTTATTCTGCTGATGTACTCTAATATGCCGGTCATGTTAGGAAAAAAAATAATAAGAAATGAATATTTAGACCTGTGAATTCACTTGCATTTGATCTATTTCCAGTTAAGTATTTTTTAGAAGAATACTGTATTCCTCCCAGGCTACCTGTCCTTTCTTCTACTCTCTGTAGGCTTCTTTTTTGTACTTGTGTTTGTCCAGGAGCTCCTTGTTCTTCCATGCAGGCCTCCTGATGTTTTTGTCCAACTTCATCTTTGTTGTTATGCGTTGCTCCTGAGCTTGGAGGAGGTGATCCTTGAATATTAGCCAGCTTTCTTGGGCCTCTCTTCCCTCCAGGGCTTCATTCTATGGTAGTGTACCAAGCAGATCCATGAGGAGGCCGAAGTCTGCTCTCCTGAAATCCACGGTCTTGAGCTTACTATTCTCCCTCCTTGCTGCCCTAAGGATCTTGAACTCCACCATTTCATGGTCACTACAGCTAAGACTGCCCTTGAGTTTCACATGCCACACCAGCCCCTCCTTGTTGAGAACAAGGTCCAGTATAGCACCTCTCCTCGTTGGTTGCTCTGTCACTTGGAGGAGGAAGTTATCATCAACGCATTCCAGGAACCTCCTGGATTGCTTATGCATTGCTCTGTTGTTCTTCCAACAGATACCAGAGAGGTTGAAGACCCCCATGATGACCAGGGATTGTGAACGTGAGGCTGCTCCTATCTTGTCTATCGAGGTTTTTCTTCTGTTCTGCTTGTTCTTCCTGGTCAGGTGGCCTGTAGCAGACCTCCACTATAATGTTACCTGTCCCTGCCCTTCTTTTAATCTTGACCCATAAGCTCTCAATCAGCTCCTCATCCGTCCCCAAGCAGAGCTCCACGCACTCCAGATGGTCACTGACATAGAAGGCGACACCTCCTCCTTGTCTCTCCTGCCTGTCCTTCCTAAAGAACCTGTATCCTTCCTTTCCAACACTCCAGTCACAGAATTCATCCACCATGTCCTCATGATGCCAATAAGATCATAACTCTGCAGGCGTACACACACCTCTAACTCCTACTTTTATGTCCTAATTAGTTAAAATGTTTTACGTTTGTAGTTAAAAGTAATATTATTTTCACTATAAAATAATCACTTTCTAAATTACAGTTTATTATACTTTTTTTTTTTACTTAAATTATGTGGTAGTCAAATAATTTACCATGTTCTAAGCTGGTTATTCCTCTGTGCTCGATTATTCCCAGGTAGCTTTTACAGATGAGTAACTCCCACCAAAGGGAGTTTTACGTGCATGGCAACTGTAGAGTCATCAATTTCTTTTAATGTTAATGGGAATTACATCTAGTGAGGACTAAATTTGCTCCAAAAAACTGAGGTACATCATCTCTTATTTTCCATTTCAGAAACCAAAATAAACAAAGACGTTTCCACTGTGCAAAACCTACTAAGAAAGAGAGCTTGACCCAATAGTTTTTACTCTTAAAAAAGTAAGATAAGCATAAATACTAGGCTCATAAATCTTAGCGTGAACATTGAGTTATGTTTTTCCTTCAATTCATCTGCATAGAAAACTTACATAAGTTATTATATCCAACCCTAAGTCTACCAATTTCATGTTTGCCTGAGAGCAGAGGTTGTTCTTAAGCAGGAGTGTAAGAGAAGAACGTAATACTTCATAGATGATTTTGTGCAAACCATCCTTTCCTGGGGCTCCAAAAAATAAAATCTGGAAGCTTCTTTGATTTGGAAGGCAGCTGGAGGATTCTTGAATAGCATTTACCTTTTTGTCTTGATCCTGGGGTGAAAAGCAGTTTCAGGTTAACTTACTTCCAGAGGAAAATGATGATTATGTGAAACGTACCACGTATCTGACAGCTACCTTTATTATGTATGTACCGTGGAGTGGGAAGCTTAGTTTTTCTGACTGTTGTGCTATGTGGGCTTTTGCTGAACTAATTTCAGTTTGTCCCTCCTCTGGCATCACTTTCCTGAGGCTGTAGAATATACTTGTGCCCTGTTCTGTGTATGCATGGAATAATTTTGTCTTTATTGGTTGTATTTGGGAATCTAAACTGAAAATGTTCCATGATTTCTTGGAGCTTTTTGGCTTTACTCACACATGCACAGAGGAAGATGAATTGAATCCGCATTTAATATTTTTTCTTAAATAAAAGCAAAAAAAAAAAAATCAAGAAAAGTAAAATAAAATCCTGTATGGGAAATTTAAGGTACCTTGCTGCTATTTTTGCAAAAACGTAAGGGTGGTTATCCTGCATCATTAAAAATTGAAAGATACAAATGGTCAGCAGTACTAAATGGATGTGATGTTAACAAATAAACTGTCAGCCACTTCACCAGTTACCTTTGGGAATATACCATTAGCTTTCTTGATAAAGCCTGGACTCTTGAGAACACTGAGAACTGTTT